TATTGGGATGATTATCTTTCAGTCTGAAGATACTGAACCATCCCTGGGATATATCCCACTTGATTATAATGTATGATCCTTTTAACATATTTTTGAATTCATTTTGTTAGTATTTTGTAAAGGATTTTTGCATTTATGTTCATCAGGGATATTGGCCTGAATTTTTTTTTTTTCCCTAGTGTCTTAGTCTGGTTTTGGTATCAGGGTAAATCTGGCCTCACAGAAAATTTTAAGCATGTTCCTTCTTCAGTTTTTTTGGAATAGTTTGAGGAGGATAGGAAATAACTCTTCTTTAAATGTGTAGTAGATTCACCTGTGAAACTGTCTGCTCCCAGACTTTTGTCTGCTGGGAGTTTCTTATTATGAATTCAATTTCACTTCCAGTAATTGGTCTGTTCAGATTCTCTATTTCTTCTTAATTCAGTCTTGGAAGATTGTATGTTTTTAGGAATTTATTTCTTCTAGGTTGTTCAATTTGTTGGTGTATAATTCTTTGTAGTAATCTCTTATAATCCTTTGTATTTTTGTGGTGTCAGTTGTAACTTTTCTTTCATTTCTTATTTTATTTATTTGTGTCTTTCTCTTTTTTTCTTCATGAATCTGGTGAAAGGTTTATTAATTCTGTTTATCTTTTCTAAGAACCAGCTCACAGTTCCACTATTCTTTCCCATTTTCTTGTTAGTCTCTTTTTCATTTATTTTTGCTCTGATCTTTATTATTTCCTTCTTTCTACCAACTCTGGGCTTTGTTGGTTCCTCTTTTATAGTTCCTTAGGTATAAGGTGAGACTCTTTATTTGAGAGGTATCTTGTTTCTTTTCTTTTTCCTTTTTCAGTTTTATTAGGTAGAATTATTACAGTTCAATTGCACATATACATTATATTGCAAGTAAGTACATACATATAATATACTGCACATTTTTTTAGTTTACATATATGTACTGATCATTGTTTCTAAGAACAGATTAGAGCTTTAGCTTTTTAAACTCACATAGTTATCAAAGGAATAAAGCCAACCACAAAGTAAGAATCAATAGAATGTGGTAATACAATCATAAAAGGCAGCTTACATATATTCAAGAAATCAATCACCTTAGATATAAATAATAAGCAGTTCATTTGTATCATTATTATTATTATTATTATTTTAGATTCCACTTATAGGTGATACCATGTGGCATTTATCTTTCTCTTTCTGTCCCACTTCACTTAGAATGATCTTCAGGTCCATACATACTGCTGCAAATGGCATTATTTTATTCTTTTTATGGCTGAGTAGTGTTCCATTGTAGAGATGTATCTTGTTTCTTGAGGTAGACCTGTAGCACTATAAATTTCCCTTTTAGAACTGCTTTTGCTACATCCCATAGATTTTGGATCATTGTGTTTCCATTTTCATTTGTCTCCAGGTGCGTTTTGATTTCCTCAGTGACTCATTAGTTTTTTAGCAGCATGTTGTTTAGCCTCCACATGTTACTGTTTTTTTCCATTTTTCTTCTTGCATTTTATTTCTAGTTTCATACTATTGCAATAGGAAAAAATGCTTGATTTTTAAACTGAGACTGGTTCTGTGGCCTAGCACATGATCTGTGTTGGAGACTATTCCATGTGCACTTGAAAAGAGTATGTATTCTGTTGCTTTTGGATGGAATGTCCTATATGTATGTATGTATATATATATGTGTATGTGTATGTATGTGTGTATGTACACACACACACACACATATATAAAATAATTTCATCGAGTCTAATGTGTCATTTAAGGCCAATGTTTTCTCATTAATTTTCTATGTAGATAATCTATTCATTGACGTACATGGAGTACTAAAATCCCCTACTTTTGTTTTATTTATTATCAATTTTCCCCTTTATGTTTACTACTTGTTTTATATACTTAGGTGATTCTTTCTTGGGTGCATAAATATTTATAAAGTTATATCCTTTGGGATTGACCCCTTTATCCTTATGTTACGCCCTTCTTTGTCTTCTGTTAAAGTCTTTGTTTTAAAGTCTATCTTGTTTAACATGAGTATTGGTACTCCAGCTTTCTTTTTGTTTCCATTTATAAGGAATATATTTTTCCACCCTTTCATTTCTAATCTGTATATGTCTTTAGGATTCAAGTGAGTTTCTTGTAGGCAGCATATAGATAGATCTTGTTTTTGTATCCATTCAAGCCACTCTGTGTCTTTTGATTAAAGCATTTAGTCCATTTACATTTAAAGTGATTAGTGATAGAGATGCACTTACTGTCATTTTGTTAATTGGTTTCTAGTTGTCTTAGTAGTTCTTCTTTGTTCCTTTATTCTTCCTTTAGTTTCTTTTGTTGTGGTTTGATGATTTTCTTTAGTTTTGTGTTTGGTTTCCTTTATCTTTACTTTTTGGGTATTTATTGTAGGTTTTTGGTTTATGGTTATGAGGTTTATATATATGGACCTACATACACAGCAGACTGTTTTAAGCTGATAGTCACTTAAGTTCAAACACGTTCTGAAAACTACATTTTTACTTCCCCCATCATGTTTTACATTTTTGATGTTATATTTATATATTTTTACTCCATATACACAAATAACGCTTATTGTAGTTTTGGTTGATTTGACAACTTCTGTCATTTAACCTTCATGCTAACTTTTTAAGTGATGATACACTGCCTTTACTATGTATTTGCCTTTACTAGTTAGAGTTTGCCTTTCATATACTTTCTTATTTCTAGTCATGGCCTTTTATTCTCTACTTAGATCCTTTAACATTTCTTCTAAGGCTGGCTTAGTGATGATGAACTCTTTTAGTTTTGGGAAATTCTTTCTTTCTCATTCAATTCTGAATGGCAACCCTGCCAGGTAGAGTATTTTTGATTGTAAGTTTGTTTTTTTTTTTCCCTTTCAGCATTTTAAATATATCATGCCTTTCCCTCTGGCCTGTAAAGTTTCTGCTGAAAAACCGACTGATTGCTTTTTGGGAGTTCCTGTGATTGTGACCAGCAGTTGTTTTTCTTTTGCTGCCTTTAAAGCTCTCTTTAACTTCTGTCATTTTAATCATGATATCTCTTGGTGTGGATCTTTTTTGATTCATCTTTCTTGGGACTATGCTTCTTGGATCTTAGTATCTCTTTTCTTCCCCAGAATAGAGAAGTTTTAGCCATTATTTCTTGAAATACGTTTTCTGTCCTCTCTCTTCTCCTTCTCCTATAATGTGAATGTTAATACATTTGATGCTGTCCCAAAGGCCCCTTAAACTGTCCTCACTTTTAAAAATTCTTTTTGGTTTTTCCTTTTGTTCTGTTTTGTTTTCTGCTTAGTTAGAGGGATTTCCAGTATGCTGTATTCCAGATCACTGATCCATCCTTCCATATCACCTAATCTACTGCTGATCTCCTCTACTGTATTTTTCATTTCAGTTATTGTATTCTTCAACTCTCATTGGTTCTTTCTTCTGTGTTCTAACTCTCTGTTGAAGTTCCCACCATGTTCATTCATTCTTCTTGGACATTAAGCATCTTTATGATCATTACCTTAAACTCTTTTATCAGGTAGATTGCTTATCTGAATTTCATTTAGCTCTTTTTCTGGGATTTTGTCTTGTTCTTTCATTTGAAACATAGTCCTTTGTCTCCTCATATTACCTAATGCTCTGTGTTTACTTCTATGTATTAGGTAGTTCTATTACATCTTGTGATCTTAGGGAAGTGGCCCTATATAGATGTCCTATGGGGCCCAGCAGCAAGCTTCCCTCTGGCTACCAAAGCCAGATACTCCAGGGGTGTCCGGTGTCCCCTATGTGGGCTGGGTATATCCTTCTATTCTGGTGAGGCTGACTGCTGTGGGCATGTTGTGGGGGGCAGGGAGGCAGGCCCTCCAGCATGGCTAATTGTGTGGCTCCTGTGGGCACACTAGTGGGCAGGATAGGACCCCAAGCGCTGCTGGCTGTGAGACCTGGAAGCATGGAACTGCTACAAGTGTGCTGGTGGGCCAGGCCAGCCCCTGGTGCTAATATGCTAGAGTGAGGGTTCCACAATGGTGTCCACCAATGCAGGTGTCAGTTTGGTAGAACAAGATCACAAAAAATGGCTGCTGCCAGCATCTCAGTTTCTAGGGGGAACCCCAGCTGCCCCCTGCCTCTCAGGGAGGCTCTCCAAAACAAGCAAGTGGGTCTGACTCAGGTGCCTTTCAAACTGCTGCCTCTGTGAAGGGACTTGGAGCAAGTGCGTTTTCACATGTGCCATTCAAGAGCAGAGTCTCAGTACCCTACAACCCCCTGGCTCTCCCAAACGTAAGTTCCACTGGTTTTCAAAGTCAGACGTTTTAGGTGCTCATATTCCTCATTTAGGACCCCAGGCTGGGGAGCCTGATGTGGGGCTTGATCTCTCAGTCTTTGGGGAGGAACTCCATCACCGTGATTTTCCTTTCACTTAACGGTCACTGTGCCAGGAGTGTGGGTCCTGATTAGACCATGTCTCTGCCCCTCCTACGCGTCTGGTGGTGGTTTCTTCTTTACATATTTACTTGTAGAAGATCTTTCCTGCTAGTCTTCAGGTCATTGTCAGAGATAGTTGCTCTGTAAGTAGCTGTAATTTTGGTGTGCCGTGGGAGGAGGAGAGCTCGGGATCTTCCTACTCTGCTATCTTGATCACTTGCTTCTATGATATCGTATCTCAACACTAATGTAGGCTGTGACCTTCTCTTTACCAAGGAAAATCACATGTGTGTGTAAATATAAACACTAAAAATAGCTGAGTTAAAGGTACTGTTATCATGACTCCCAATGATTATTCTTAAGAAGTTAAAAAAAAAACCTTCTTAGGAATTAAAAGTGAATTGTAGCAAATTATAGGGATAAAATAGACTTCAAGGAGAATATTAATATTAACTATATATTCTTATTTATCACATTATCACACTTTCTAATACAATTTGGTTAAATAAACTATTTCACTAACTGCCTTCTGGAAATAACAATTTAACCACTGAAACAGAAACCAAAAACAGAAATAAATACTTACTCACAATACCAAACTGTCCCCAAAACAGAAGTATAGCCAAAACTGGGAAAACAACAGTGAGGATATTTTCATTTGGAGAAAACCATGAAACTGGGAAGAAAGAAGACAAAAATCACAATTAACATTTACTATACTCACTTGAACTCCTGCCAATAAATGGTCAATAATATATTTTATTATGGAGACGGGAAATAAAAATAGTCAAATAAAGGTTTGGCCTTAAAATAAATAAGTAAGAAGTTATAGTATAATTTACTTATATAACAAATTTTACTTATGAAAGAAAGTTATTTAAGTGTTTTTCACCACATTTTCCCTAACCTATGCTTTGTGGAAGGAGGTGGTATAGCACAGGAGCTGAGAACAAGGTTCTGGAGCCACAGTACCTGGTTTTGAAACCCAACCCTAACTTATAATTTCTGTGACCTTGGACAGAGTCTTAATACCTCTCTGCTCATCAGTGTCCTCCAGTGTTACACTGGTAAACTGACCATTGTGACTGTTAACAAAGTTAATAGATGCAAAGGGCCTAAAACAAACTTTGGCCCTTACCAAGTGCTCCTCAGACATTAACTACAATTAGTATTATGTGCTTCTGTGGTGATACCTGTATGCGCAAAATGCCGAGAATTTACCTTAAAGCAACAGTGAAGTCTTCCTGCAAAGACTCACCCGGGGTACCCAAGTGAGGAAGTCATATAGCTTGGTACCTTCGCCTGACTCCGACTAAAACCAAGACAGATGCGAGCCCTAGCTTTTCTCGAACTTACTCTGGACCAGAAGATGCATTCATGAACAATTAGGCTTCAAATGACTGTTTACACATAAAGTAACGTGAGGGGCTTTAGGTATTAAGGAAGCTTTTACTGAGTGGGTCACATGTTACCTAGAGAGGGATAATATAACCACACATTCTATATAAAGGAAATGGTGATGTTAAGACTTCAGATAAGATTTGTTAAAAACGTTTAAAAAATTAAGTTTAATTGCATCTTATTAACTCTTAAGACCATAATTTTACCTGTGAAATTTTCTTCTCTAACAATAAAGCCAAGTAAACGCACTGAAAGCATTTCAAAGTTTGCCTGTATAGAGGGAATGTGCTGTGTGAAGAACACTTCCGAATGCTGCCCAAAGCTAGCCACCCGTGTTCCTCTAAAATTAACCCTTTCACATCTTTCACTGCTCTGCCTCTTTGTACTGGCATGGAAGGAATCTTGTGGGTTTTCATACCATAATTCTAGCCATGCATTTCTTGTGTTAAGCTTATAATCTTAAACTCTGGTAAACGTTCACAATAATCCCCAGAATATAACATTAAATTTTCTATCTTACAGATACTAGCTTTCCGTTACCTAGCATTTTGCCCTACCCACAGTAGAGACTCAACTGGTTTGTTGTTGAAGGTTCCAATAGTCACAAAATAGTTTAGTGAGTGAATGAAAGACAGTTTTTTGTTTTTTTTGGATGATCCCCTGGTTGCAGAGCTCTACCAAAAGACAAAGGTTTTCAGATACTCTGAATTAATACATTATGGTCCAACTGAATCACTGAGCATCTTCCTATACCAAACAAAACCCATTCCCATTCAGTCTAAAATCCTACCAGGAAAAACCTTCATAAATTATCCTTAGGTTTTCATATCTAATACCCAAAGTATTTGGAAAAAGCTCTAAGACCTAATAACTATTCTTAATCAACTTATTTTTATCTCTACTTGCTTTCTCTATTATTGAGCTGTATACATTAACTCTTCAAATCTTCACAGTTATTATATGAAGAATTATGAACTCCTCCTTAACACCGAGGAAACTGAGGCACAGTGAATTAAAGGTCTTAAGGAACTTGAATTTTCATGTCCCAAACTGACTCCTGACACCAAACCTCCCCTCAGTTTTCCCCATTTCAGTAGTGGTGACTCCACTTCTTCAGTGGCTCAGCCAAAAACCTTGGAGTCATCCTTGACTCCCTGGTTTCTCCCACACCCTATGTCTGGTCTGATGGTAAATCCTGTGGTCACTACCTTCAAAATATAGCCAGTATCTGATCTCATGTTCAAGGTGGGCTGACAATGAAATGTTCTTTCACTGGCCTCCCTCTCTATACACAGAACAATCTTTAACAGTCTTAGGATATATTCATAAAATCTATTAGCGAACATAAGATTTATCGTTTGCCTCTCAGTGACCTACACTACACCCCAAAATTACTGCGCCCCCATGTCCTGTTTTTTCATTTCAATGAATCTGTACATTCCCTCAGAAAAATTTCAAATAGATATTAGTTTATCTAATTCCACATTAGACCCCTGCTGAAAGGTATATCTCAAAAAAAAATCTCTTTAACTCAAATTAACATCAAATAAATAAAAGTTAAAATATAAGAGAGATTTCTGAGCATAAAAGCGTTCCAGATTCTGCTGGCCTGCTCTAAGCCATCTCCTGCCCAATCCTCACGGCATGAAAATCCCTTCCACAACACCCGGGCCAGTTTCGGCAACCTGATACCTTCCTTCATAAAGCAAACATCCCAGGAACACGATTTACATTTGCAAAAGCACTTTGGCTCACAAAGCACTTGCACACTCATATGGTGCTCACTAGACTTCAGAAAAGAATTCATAAAAGCAGGGATCTATTTCATCCCCATTTTAGAGATGAGGTAATTCGGTGAAGCAGCTTTTCAATATCATACAGGTGAACAGTTAAGTTGCAGAACAGGGTATACACCTCTGATCTCACCCCTGATTCCTAATCCTAAACAATGTCAAAATATTCACCACACTACGCACCTCATTCCCAGTCTGGTAACAGACATTTTGTAACAGCAAGCAAAAGAGGAACAGGGGCAAAGAGTGGACCCAACTGAATTGATCTGATCCCATTTAAAGCAGAGGTTCTCAAAGCATGGTCTAATCCTGAGATCAGTGTTATGTCTAGTGATTCTAAACAGCTTTCAAAATATAAAACTGGAGTGTACTTCTATGTGGTTGAAGAAATTAGCTAGAACAGCAAAGGACAGAAAAGAAAGGAGACTTTTTTTTTTTTATCAGCTAACTTGACTGCTTTACGCAACTCACCAAAACTCAAGTTTGGGAAGACAGAGCAGAATCATGGTGCTATAACCAAGGCTGAATTTAAATAAATTAACTGGGATCCCTAGTGCTCCCACACCCTGGCCAAGGAAAAGAAAACCAAAGCAAGGCTAAGCACAGGGGAGCCTCAAGGAATCCTCCAGGATAACCTGATTTTTAATCTTCTAATTCTCCTCCTAATCTATTCTTTCCAGAAGAAACATGGCTGGGACTTGCCAACCCTTGATCAAAGTATAACGTTAAAAAAAGAAAAAGGCTAACTAATTGGAAAAAGGCTTGAAAATGAATCACGTGAAAGAAAGTTTTGACGGCAGCACACAGGAATGCAGAATAGACAACCCCAGGACTGCTCACCCCAAAAGAGCAGTCCTCAGACCAAAAGTCTGAGAACCACACAATGTACAAATTAACAAACGAAGAGCAGAAGCGCAAGGAAGATAAAACTCATGACCTTAAAGCTGATAAACATCTCATCAACATTTATTATTAATAGCCTGCTTTTTGATTCAACGGAATTCCTAGCCCCATTTTGTGCCCCCCCCCCCCGTTTCTAACAGGATCAGGCTGCTGCAGGAGAAATAAAAGGGAAACTTTATAGAAGTCTTACCAATACGATATTTTAGTTCTACGATGGTTTCACCTTCTCTGCTTAATTCTGTTACTTCACAAGTGTAGTTTCCTACGACGGCATCACGCTTATCCATCTTCAAAGACGCAATGCCCATTAGTAAATCTGATGATGAGATGCTTGCAGTTGTAAAGTTTTTGCTGGGACTGGACTGGTTTTGATTTCCATCGAAGATGAAAATGTTTTCTCCTTTCAATTTCCACTTGACGTACAATTCACTAATACTCTTCGCCTCTATGTTACTAACAAAACATGGGATGACAACAGTTTTATTGCAAACGGTGTATTCTACAGACTTGATTTTATTAAATATTAGCTGAGCTGAACCTGGAAAAGAGAAAATTGTTTCATTTAATTACAGAATTCTATACTATAAGATCTTAGGTATGCTACAAATTCTTAAGAGCAATATTTCTATTATTCACTTAAGAAAACAGTGCAGCTTGGGGGAGATGGGCAAGGTGAAAAGAAGAAACAAATTATTTTAATATTAACATGTGCAGCTGACAGACAACACCATATCTTTTCCTTATTCGTTCCCAGTAATGCACAATACAGTCTCATGTGTCTTGGGAATAAATTTAGCAACTGTGTTAGAACCTGCAGGTGTAGTATCTGGCTTTGGAAGCTTTTAAGTAATTGTTACTGCCTATTGATATACACAGAAAAATACTGTCCTTGCCATGAGAAAGTTTTAAACAGAAAATAAAATCAAATATTATATTCAGACTCAACTTCGGTAAGAACTTGCTTAACTAATATGAAGTTTATCTCCATCCCTATGTTGCATTTCCAAAAAACGTGGCAGGCTCTACTGTACTTTAATATAAAAAGTAAATCAGATGAATCACATCACATCTTTCCACTAGGATGAAAAGTCTTACAATGCTAAGGAAAAAAAAAAACTTTTTCTATGGCTATTTTTTTATTGCAAAATGCAGAGAGCCACAGACATTTTGTACGCAAGTATTATAAATTATTATACACAACTGAATGGCATTTTCCCACTCCTACACTTCATTGAAACTAAGGAACAACAACTTCCAAATGCATATTACAGGTATTCCTTCCATAAACCATAAATCACACAAAATAAAGCTAAGATGCAAGTTGAAACCAAGAGCAGATACTGCTCATAAGTAGTGTGTATTTTATCAACTTTTCTCAATAGGATAAATTACCAGTTGTTATCTTATAAACAAGATTGAAATAGTAAATGCAATCACTCATCTTTCATCTAAAATGTGCAAAAATGTGGAACAACTGTAGTTGTCTTCCATCTTTTTCAGCCATTTATCAACCCTTTAACTAAGTGGTTAGTTGGCTTTTCCCTCAAAAAACCCACTAACAAATACAAATAAAATATCAAGTTTAGTCATTCATCTTTAAGATTTGCTCCTTCATTGGGGGCATAGGATGTTATTACTCTAGGAACATAATTACTATTCAATAAATGCCGACTGAGTTGAACACTAGGATCAGAGTGGAAATATGAACTGAATAATGTTCAGAAAGCCTGAGTACAAATCCTATCTCTGTCACTTCTCCGTATGCAACCTTAAGCAATTCACTTAACTTGTCTAGGCCTTGGTTCACTCTCTGTATAAGAGGATCAAAAACGAACACTGGGCAACTTCACAGAATTGTGATCAGCATCAAAGGAGAAAATATACTAGCAGGTGTTCTCTAAACAATACTCTGCTGTAAATATTCAGGGTGATTCCGTAACAACTAGGCACTACAGCATTTAATGTCATGCTCCGGACCGTCTGTGACTGACAGGTCTAAACTGCTACATTTCTGGGGATCCACAGTCTGAATCAACCTTGCAGGTTTTCACAGCTCACCTCTCCCCAGTTCTCTACATTTCTAGCCACTCAGATATCAGGAAGCCCCAGGCAAAACCTAGGCTTCCAATTGCATTCTGAAAAGCCTTGGAGTTGTGAACTATTTCCCCTGAGAAAGAAGAACTGAGGGAAAGACGGTAGTACACAAGGAGGGAAGAAAGCGCCTATGATGTTGGAATCAGAAAGGAAGGCAAGTGCCAGAAATGATGATCAACGATTTTTAAGTGGACAAAAAAGACTACTATGAGTCCTTTCAATAGAGTGCTGGGCATTGTCTGACAGATCCTTTCAGAATCTCTAATTCTATAGTGGCTCGTGCCTTTTGCCTGTGTTTGGGCTATTTTTATAATTTTCTAAGTTGTAGAAAACTGATGGTAACGCAAATGATCCATGCTCACAGAGATACGAATAAACTTGCTTCTGCAATTGACTTCCACCTGGTGGAAGAGAGGAATTAAAAAAATCACATTTTGTTGCCCCAAGGATACTGACCAATTTTGCATCTATTCACAAATTCACGTCAGCATTCCTGACTGCCTATATGCCCGTGTGTCTGTTCTTCCACTCTCCTTCTAAAACCAAGATGGTTGTACCATTTTGCTGGTTTGCTTAACTAATGCATGAAATAAAATCTTTGACACATGTTCATTTTATATTTGTTTGAGTTAAGATTTTACCTTCTAAAATTACCCTTTATGTGGAGAAAAGGGAACCCTCCTACACTGTTGGTGGAAATGTAAATTGGTGCAGCCACTAAGAAGAACAGTATGGAGGTTCCTTAAAAAACTAAAAATAGAATTACCATATGATCAAGCAATCCCACTCCTGGGCATATATGTGGAAAAGATGAAAACTCTAATTTGAAAAGATACATGCACCCCAATGTTCACAGCAGGACTAATTACAATAGCCAAGACATGGAAGCAACTTAAGCGTCCATCAACAGATGACTGGATAAAGAAGATGTGGTATATATATATATATATATATATACACACAATGGAATATTACTCAGCCATAAAAGGACTGAAATAATGCCATGTGCAGCAACATGGATGGACCTAGGGATTATCATACTAAGTGAAGTAGGTCAGAAAACGATAACTATCATATGATATTACTTATATGTGCAATCTAAAAAAATGATACAAATGAATTTATTTATAAAACAGAAACAGACTCACAGACTTAGAAAACAAATGCTTGGTTACCAAGGGGAAAGGTGGGGAGGGATAAATTAGTAGGAGTTTGAGATTAACATAAACACACTACTAGATATAAAACAGACCTAGTGTATAGCACAGGGGACAATGTTCAATATCTTGTAATAACCTATACCAGAAAAGAATCTGGAAAAAAATATGTGTATATGTACAACTGAATCACTTTGCTGTCACCTGAAACTAACACAACATTGTAAATCAATCATAGTTCAATTTAAAAATTTTTTAAAAATAAAATTACCCTTTAATAGAAGAGATACAAGTGAAGAACTCAGTTATCACAGAGAACTTTCTTAGAAGCCTTTAGGTAAGAAGTGGTGGGTAAATATTTCATGAGTTCATAACTTGTGTTTAGAAACTGAATTTTTTTCTAAAGAATACAGAAAGCACTGATTGCACTGCTTTATTTGTTGACATTTAAAAAAACTGTTATAGCTGAAGCAATTTAAGTAGAATAAATACTGTCAATAAAATTCAAAGTAAAGCTGACCTGGATAAACATTAATTTGAATAACCCTGTCACTAATAATTAATAAATAAAGATAGCCCAGAAATGTTCCTCTGCCAGCTGTTAACTACAACTTCATCCTCTATAAATATTTATTTAAAAACTATTAAGTAATAAAATTATCTGATTTGGGTCTTCTCTCTTTTGCCTATTGCCTTTTGATGAAACAGCAGAGAGAAGATCTAAAATACAGAAAGCAAATAAAGGAACACAGATGATTAACATGATTAAGTACAGTCTGAATAATCAAGAAATGGCTACAGCAGTCTAAATCAGATAGGAACAGATAAGTATAATCATCAGTGATGCTGGAGTTACAGGTAAATTAGCAAATGAAATGGGGAAATTATTTTACATCGAATGTCAAAAATACTGGACCTTACAACCTCTGTGAAGACAGACCACCGACTTAAACCATCTCATACTACACTTCTGAAAACAGCTCCTATAGACGTGCAGAGAAGGCTCAATACGTGGTCCTCACAGTACACAGGTCTAGCTCAGAAATTCTGACATGCAACAAGCATTTATTGAGAATTACCTGATCTGAAATAATGTGACAAGATGTGGGGATACAATAACGGAAAAAAATGTAGAAATTCTCTTTGAGGAGCTTAGAATCCTCACTTGGGGGAATGACACATACTTTTTATAGCATAAGATCATAAGTGCTATCCTTCGGGCATGAACAAAGTGCTATGGACGGGCAGGAGAGCAGTCAGTCTTACAGATTTCTAAGAAAACTGGCATTGCTCCTAGGGGAACAACAAGACCCCACCCATCTGGGCCTTCAATCTTTTTTTTTTTTCTTTTTCAAATGGACATACTGGGAATTGAACCAAGTACCTCGTGCATGCTCAGCATGCACTCTGCTCTACCAACTGAGCTATACCCCCATCCCCATGGGCCTTCAATCTTGTATCGTTTCACGTGTTTCATGTATTTCCGTCATTTGTAACAACTCTTACATCTCTGTCTTTTTGTAAGAGCTTATCCTATACCCTCCAAAGGAGCCCTCTCTTCCTATTTTTCATTTCAAATTGAGTCCTCCAGATAAGAAGCCAGAAGCTTCCAGCAATTCCACCAATAAATGTACCAGAAACTGCAACCATCTACACTTTTCTTCCCCTCAGTTCCTCCTCTTCAGAAATGAACCCCTTCACCTGAGAGCTAGTTCCCATTTCTGCCTCCACACTCCTCACCCTCCTCAAGGACTTTCCCTACTTGGTTATCAGCCTCCTATAGCCCCCAAGTTCATTCACACAGGTTTAAAAACATTTTTTTTAGATGCTTGAGTATTAGTCAACTGAAAAAAAAATTCCTCATACTTCTCTCTCTCTTCCCTAGTGTCCTGAAAAAAATTATCTAAATGCACTTTTTCACCTCTTACTTCTTAAACCTCTGCCACCTGGCCTCCACCTTGCCTTCTTCACTGTGACAGCTCTTTGGAAAGTCCCCAGTAATCCCTGGTGAAAACTGAAGGTACGTGGTTCACTTTCTATCTTGACTTCTCTAGAGTTCTTGAACTAGTGGGCAGCTCCTTTCTTGCTCTTGTCTCTTGGCCTCTGTATCTCCGGATTCTGAATTTCCTCCTAATACTTTGTCCACCTCACTGCAGCTTGCTTTCTTTACTGAAATCTCTTCCTTGACTCACAATAAACATTAGACTTCCTAAGGACTTCCTATCCAGCACTGCACCCCACCCAGCCCCGCTCCAGTATTCTCTTACTCTGTGGTTTTACCTACCCA